AAAATAGATACACATAAATATACATGCTAGTGAAAAGTCCATAATGTCCCTCACATAAAATGGCAAAACCGGGAGAGGTTCCCGAACCCAGAAATCGTCTCGGCTTTCGAAAATTCTAAAATGCAACCCGTCACTTATAAATGACTAAAATTAATTAAAATTACAAATTCTAAAATTCTAGACTCAAGAAAATGACTAAAACGACCCTCGCGACCCGCGTGTATGTCATGCAAAATAAGGTACAAAAAATAATTCAAATAAAAATTCAAAAAAAATCAGAAAAATTCAAGACATTACAATATATATATATAATACAATACATCAGAGAAAATTAGGGATTTGACCGTAATTAGTTTTACTGATAAGATATTGTTGGCACCAAAACTTGGCAGCTATCTCAGCAATGACGTGGACCAACGAAGAAGTGACAAGTACTTCGACATAATGTCATAAGAATTGGCCAATTGAAACTATCAAGAGCACGCAAAAGGGTGACACATGGAAATATATTTGGCCGCTTAGTTAATATAGCGGTTCTAAAATACATCACCTATGTTTGACTATTTTCAAAATAGGTTGTTAACATGAAAAAGAAAGGCTAGAGTTTAAATAAAATTAGACAACTAAATTCATATAAAATAGGAATTTAGGTTGGAAGAAGAAGGCAAACTCTGAAAGATGGTAACCATGTAAGTAACGACATAGACGAGTAAAAAAGTGACAAGTGCCCTTGACACTATGTCAAAGATTGGGCCATTTCGAATAAGAGACAACTGCCAGACTCATAAAAGGTAGTTGCTAAATTTTAGCAACTAATACTTGGCTATTTCAAAATAGGTTACTAATGTAAAAGTGAAGGGCTTAATTGAAAGGCAAACAAATGTATTCCAATTTTATAGGAAGTATAGTTGAGACATAAAAGGGAGGCTCTCATTTGACATAAGGAAGTTCAAATACACCAAGTGTTAACTCAGTTTAAATTAAAAAGGGAAGAAAACCAAAGAAGAGAAGATTTTGCCACAAATAGTTAGGAGAATAAGTTGATTGAGACTTCTATAAATAAAGGAATTGTAATTATTTCCAAACGGTCTAGCACTACCCACAAAACATTAATATTAAATTCAATTGACATTACGTCATTTATCAATCTTCAATTCTTTTGTCCAATGGCAATTTCCATTCAAAAAATCTAAATTCTAGCAACTTGTTTTTCTCTTGCAATGTTTAATTATGTTATTTCTATCCTTTAACTTGTTTTATTCAATTGAGTTCAATGACAATCTTTGATCAGATTTCAATCATCTAAATTCAGTTATCTTATTTCATTACACTCTTTACTTTCCACGCAATTTCAATTCAGTCATTTTCTTTTAAAGTCCATTTCAATTCAGCCATTTTCTTTAAAAGACCATTTCAATTTAATCAGTTCATTTTAATTTCTTTACTTTATATTGCATTTCTTTTCTTTTAAACACTACTATAAAAAGTCCTTGCATCAAGACAGAAAAAGAATCTAGCCGAGAGTTCTTTATATTCTCTCTCTTGCACAATCGCCTGAAGTCAGCCACTAAAAGAGATAGTTTGGTGTTCAAATCATTTTTTGAGTATTTACATTCTCTTGCACGGCTGCAAACTCCATCGGCCTTGTGAGCCAAAAAATGCGCGAACATAAATTTGCACTCCCGGTGGGACCCCAGCTGGGTAGTGTTAAAAAAGCAAAAATACCACGGTCTATGAAGAACTCTAAAGCCATAGCCACTGAAGAAGATTTGGAGGAAGGACATCAGCCAGTTTAGGCTGAGAGTTCTACATTAGGCCTTGTGGATGAAATGGCAGTAGTTCAGGCACATGTGAACTCCTTAGTGGAAGCAATGGGAAGGATGAGTGCACATCATAACGATATGCATGAAACTATGTCCCAACTCTATTGGGTAACTATATATATAAATGTGTGTGTGTGTGTGATAGAAGGACCCCGCAATCAGTTTTCGACTATCAAAACAAGCTAAGGCCTATCACTAGCACTCCTCTAGTCCTCTTCACTCTTCTTCAATCTTCAGCTATTATACGTGACTACAATCACTAGTGTCTAACAAACACTTTTACATCTTAAAGTGACCAAATCACAAATTCACAATGAATACTTCGGTCTTTTATTATTTTTATATGATTTAATAAAAATAATAATATAAAACTGAATAAATTAACTAACGTCAGAATCACTTCATTTCTTACTTATATAAATACAGTAAGTTTGAGACTTTCGTTTGTTGGGTCATGACAATTTTAACGGTGTCATGTTTTGTTATTTTTATATTATATATTCTTTAATTTTATATGCACAATTAGGACTAGTTTGGTGTGGTGGAATGAATTGGAATGAAATGGGAATAGAGGTGGGAATGGAATGAGAATGGAATAGAGTAGGAATTATGATTCACATTCTCTTGTTTAATTGCAAACATATAATGGAATGTATAAAAGTAAAATAATAATTTCCATTTATTTGTTTGGTTGGACTAAAAATAAAAATGGATTAAATTTATAATGTTTTACCTTATTCATCATTTATATTGTTTTCTCCAAATTATCTTTATCATTAATAAATAAAAATAAATAAATAAATAAAAATAACAAAAAAAATTAACATCAAATTTTTTCCAATCTAGTGGATAGAAATAGGTATGTAAGAATGAAATTGGGGTAATAGATAGAGAGAGAAAGTAGAAACTGGGCAAGTGAGGTGTTGGAGATTGGGGCGAGAAAAGACGATGGAAAGAATGGTGATCCGATTTGGAAAGAATGGTGATCCGATTTACAAACTTCAGTGCGATCGGGTGAGGACGGATCTGATTTGGAAAGAATGGTTTCAGCAATTCTTTCACAAAATCAATGAAAAAGCTTATGTAAACAGATTTGGAAAGTATTACGAAAAAGCTTCCGATCTTCTTTTTTTATTTTTTTTATTTATTTTTTTTAACTTACCAAAAAACAAAAAAGCTTCAGATCTACTTTTGATTTTTTATTGTGTCTTGGTCCATCACTTTGAAATTCAAGATCAGGCGGTGGGTTTGATGGAGGAGATGATGATGCCGGTGGTCGGTTTGATGGAGGAGGTGATGATGCCGGCGGTGGGTTTAATAGAGGAGATGATGATGCCGGCGGTGGGTTTGATAGAGGTGATGATGCCGGCGGTGGGTTTGACAGAGGATGTGATGATGCCAGCTGTGGGTTTGATAGAGGTGATGATGCCGGCGGTGGGTTTGGCAGAGGATGTGATGATGCCGACGGTTTGTTTGATGGAGGAAATGGTGATGCGTGGGTTTGCAATTTGTTAGGTTTTATTTTTTAATATTTTTTTAGTTTTATTTTTCTAAAGTTGGAATGGAATGGTCATTCCTTTTGTGAAAAGGTGGAATGATTTTGATGGAATAACCATTCTCCAAGAATGGTGGAGAATGACGATTCCAAGTTTAAAATTAGACACCAAACACAAGAATGGAATAAAAACCATTCAATTTCACTTTCTTTGTATTCCATTCCACCACACCAAATTAGGCCTTAATTCAATGGTCTATTTCCACTATGTTCTCTTGTTGTCACCTTCAGATCAATAAAATACTTGATGAATAGACAAGTCTAAAAAATTTATTAATACTTGCAAAAATAAAAGGGTAAAGTTTTAAAATGAATAGATCAGAGCAGTTGAGCATGCCCATTTCAATCATTCTCATTCCCATTTCAATCATTCTCATTCTGTTTCTCATTTGTATCATTAAATTTATCATTAAATTAATGGTGTATTATGCACATGCAATTTTATATATATATATATATATATATAGTCTATCCTTTTGCTGTTCTTTATTTCTTTATATTATTTTTTAATTTTTTGTTGTCTTTTTGCTGTTGTTCTTTACTTGTACTACGTATTAAGAATACTCCTTTTTGTTGCGACTGTTGTTCTATGATTATTCCTAGGGATTTGTGTAGATCTCACTTGCCACTCGTGACTATTTGTCTGGATTTGTGTGGGTCTCACTTACTATTCATATGGGTCGGTTTGATTTGAGCATTAGTGTCGGTGAAACCGAGTGTCTGGGATCTAGCACGACTCTTTTATTGATAAAAAAATAAAAAAATAAAAATAAAAATAAAGACAAAAATCACAGCAAACAAACCCACTTGAAAAAATTATTACTTCAAACTAATTTTAAAAGATTAACAAAAAATTGACTGCCTTTTGTTGAATGGGCTTATGTTCGTTAACAAATTAAATAGAAACACAATTTTGTTCAATTGTATTAACGGACTTCTTTGGTCAGACCTTTAAGATATATCTTATTTATTGTGTAGGGTCATAGAGTTTGTTTAGTCCTGGTTCATTGGGAATGCATGTAAAGCTTGAACCAAATAAAAAATTAATGCCTACTTCTGGCTAGGGTAATTTAATGAAACAAATTTACATGGACCTCCCTCTTATTATAGTCAACGCATGTAAATGACGGATTTTACTATTGTCATGTACGAAATAAATTAAAATTCTTACATTATCCTTCGTCTATCTCCTCTCTCACACACATACATATGGTACTAGAGTCATTTACCATAGTAATTTTAAGGCATTTTAGTAAATTAGACAAATTTATTAGTGCATTTGACGTTCTATCACTAGGAAGAGAGGTATGTGTAGATTAGTTTTATTTTTTGGAAAGATCTATGAGAAAGCGGAAAGAAAGAAAGAAAGAAGAAGAATAATCGCAACTTAGTCACTTGAGCGGTGCAAGTTTAAATTCAAAACGTGACTCTCGATTAAAATGGTTTACAGTTAACTGTCACGTACGTGATCATAACTATTAGACAAGAGGGGGTGCTCCATTTTTCTACCATTGCGAGGTCGACTATGAGGATGGGATGTAAGGAGCTGTTTCCAGCTTTGAATAATGACCAAATGAGGCAAAAATGAAATTATTGAAGAATGTTATGATCATTGTCTCATGTATGTGAGGGTTATTTATCTGTAGGTTTGAATTAATTGAATGTCATGTACAAAGTGAATTCACTTCTTCTCACTATCTGGATCTAAAATCCAAAGAATTACTCAAAAAATTGGACAAAGAATGGCTAATACATTCACAGACATGCCTATTTAGTATTTACTTGACTTTCTTTTCCTCTTTTTGGTGGCTTCATTTTCAATGTTGTGAAAACTCTACTCTTCTTTGTTCTCATCTTCGTCGTAGTTGAAAGGTAGTGGAACTGACTTGAATGCGCGATACTTGCCAACATTATTCAGATGTTCATTTTCCAACCTGATTCATCAACCAAATGAAACAATCATCAGTAAAAAGAGAATCAAAAGTTGGAAGGATTATAAACCGAAATAATCAAAATTGTGGTATTGGCACCAATTTACCTGAAGAAGTTCCACATGCCACGACGAAAGATCTCAAGGACAGCAACAAGTGCTATCATGGTTTCTCTATGCAGAAAAGGAACTCTGAAATTTAACACTGTTTGCAGCCAGGCAAATTTCAACAGTACATTCAAGACCTGCATATTTCATTAACTTCGTTAGAATTTGTTAGAATTTTCACTGAATGTATGTTGACACAACAAACAGTAAATCTACGAAAGGGCGTCTAGTCCAATGGTATGATATCCGTGTCCCAAAAGGGGGAGGTTGAGAGTAGGGCTCCCAGTAGGGACGTATTGTGAATAATGGCGTGTGTTTGCTTAAAAAAAAAATGTAGAGTAAAAAAAACCATAGAGTAAATCTCATTGTTAATTATTCTGCTCACCATGGCCCCGAAATATACACTTTTATGGGGGATAAGGAGTTTGTCTCTCAACCAACGGTTATCAGAATTCCGTTGTAGAAGCCCCCAGTCCTTAACGAGGTCCCAATATGTACCGAAGATTGCTGCAGTGACTGATAAAATCCAGGCTGCTATCTTCCAACTCATGCCTCTGTTGAGTGTGTATGCTGTTCTTGCACTTATTGCTAAAATTGTCGAGAAGTATTTCAACCCATTGAGTCCTTGCGTAACATCTCTCTCTTCTATCAAGCGCCTGAGACACTGAAAAGAACACGAACTGTTTTAGGAACCTTTGATAGCATTTAGAATACAGTGTTTTCTCCGACAATTCAACTTCTTAGTTACAATAGTTAGTAGTTTGTACTTGAACTTTGTTGAAGGATTTAAACATTAAAGTTACACTGTCTTTAATAGCTTAAGTTTTTACAGTAGGGGTCACACGTGAGGGGCGTTTTGAAGGCCCTGTACTTAAACCTCAGTCACTCTAATAATTAAAATTAAAACAAGTGTTGAAAACACCATTTGTTTTCCAAGTAATGGAGTACATACCTGAAGAAGGCGTGACCAATATGGAATTGCAGCAACTATGAAATAGAAAGTGTTGAAAACATCATTTGTTTTGCAACTGTTTTCTCTGAGCTTGTAGTCTCCCCAACCATAGTAGCAAACATAGAACTCCAAACTTCTAATTGCTTGCACCTGTAGTGACACAACAATTGACACTTAAAACTATTTTTCAAGCAAGAGGTCGAATGCAATTGAAGCTTAGCAGTACATAGGCCATATACACACCTGACTAGTTAGCTGATCTGCCAAGAAAAAATCAGGAAGCGACACCTGCAGAGGAAAGAAAATCATTGCTTAGAAAAAATGACTTTGAAATCTTGAATCTTTTCTGAAAAGTCTTGCCCCTATCTTTAATTTTACCTTGTAGAGAGGGGCACAGATGCAGTGAAACACACATGTGAGTAAGAAGAAGCGACTTGATCGGTATATGATGTTGAAGGGGCAAAGCAATACGACGATTACAAGCTGCAGAAGACGAGAAAAGTTCAGTTTAAGCTCAATTTGGAAGTAGGAGAAAGAAAAAAATCGCGATTACTTAGTACTTACCACCACTAATCCCAGAGGGACAAGTTCAGTGATTGCTTTGTAATCAAGTGTTTCTGGATCCATTTCCATATCAAGGTTCGCAAGCACGCTGGCAAGTGCTAGTACTGCAAAAGCAGAGCTCAGGAGGAGAACTTCTCGATAACCCAACTCAGTTCCTTCCTTGAAACCAAATATGAATGAATAATTGACTCGGTAACGCCTCCAGAAGTATATGTTTGCAGCATACATAAGCATGTGAACTACAATGAATCCAAACAAGCTGTAAAGGTAGTTCAGGATAGTATTAGTGTTGAGTTGAGTGCAAAGCTAATAAGAAGAATCATTTGAGGCAGCTCCTAATAAATTACCTGTAAAGGGGAAACATTGTTTCCATGTATTGGGTTCTTCCTTTATTGTCAAGAATATTGCGTGCACGTATAATCAGAGCAAGTGCCAGTATGAGAGCAATTGTGCAGCCAGCAAAGAAACCTGAAAATTTTCCAATGTAGAAAGATTCAAAGGAAGGTAAATAACAGAGAGGGTTTCAAAGGCAAAAGCAATCCTACAATACAAATTTATATAAGAATTGTGGAATTTTTTATCGTAGAAATCTTACCCAAGGAAAATGTTACTCTATGTCTTTCTTTCTTTGCTTTTGGTCTTAAGACACTCATTCCTTTAGTGCGATTTGAGTTGGCGAAATGTTTGATGAATGCAGCTTCAACCCTTTCCATAAGTCTAGTAACCTACACTGGCACAAAACAGATCATGAAAGTTAGTTATTTGAACTACAAGGTACTGAACAAGTTGATTCTTATAATATATCTATATAGTGTATTCTGCTTTGAATTGATGGAATTGGAATGAAAAGAAATGGAGGAATAGCTATTTTCATGTTTGGTCTAGAAACTTTAAAATTGTAAAAATAAAAATAAATAAATAAATAAAATAGTACATTTAATAAGATAGTTTCATTTCTTTATCTTTCCGGACAAAAATATGGGTTATATTATTATCATTTCTTTTCGTTTTCATCATGACTTATTCAAACGCGAATGAATGATTAAGTTATCATTTGTTTTCTTATTTCTCATAATTAATGTTATCGTTTCCTTTCTTTTCTTTTCCGTCCTACTCATCCAAACCAAATTTTTAACGTCTTTGATGTAGAGGCCAATACTTGATAAATGATCTCACCTCATCAGAACTACCAAGGTAGGAGTTATCCACCATCTTCAAGTATTGTCTTGATGCATTTCTTGAAGTTATCTGCAACAGAATACAAATGATTTTTCAGTTCAACTTAACTTGCTCTAACTATAGCAAACGTAAAACGAATTGTTGAGATGGAAAGAAGCATCGGAGTTTTCAATAGAGGATACATACCTTGTCATATTTCTTCATGATCTTCGAAAATGCCAACATATTCAAGAAGCTGTTTATCAATTACCAGAAGAATCATCAAATATATAATCAGACCAGAATAAAGCAAGCCAATTAATAAAACTTTTGTGATTGAATAACCTGTTACCTGTAGCTCTTGAGAAGCCGAAGCTTGTGATAGAATTCGATGAAAGCCTGCTTAAGTTGTTCTTCAACTTTCTTTAGATTTTCACTATTGAAATTCAGTTTTGTCTGATGAGGAACGTTGAGGAAGGCTTTGAGGGTGGAACGCGGAGTCTCACTAGTGTTGTTAATTTTCACATGGTCAAGTATTTCTAATGGAGCTGGTCTAGTTGTCTTGATGCTGTTTAGCTTCTGTTCTTGAACATTTTGGTTGCTACTTTTCATCTCAATTACTTCTTTATCATCACCGGATTCATTCGACCCCTGTCTGCTCAACCTTTCTTCTTCTATTATATCCATGAAAGTCCTTCCTGCACATCAAGGATAATTATGAATTTTTGAAAGGCTAGAAGGTGTTTGGTTAATTCTAAACCACCTTCTTTTTTCTTTTCTTTTGTGTGTGTATAATAGAAGCACTTGGTTAAGAACCATTTAATAATTGTAAGCACAGAAAATGATTAGCAACAAGAGGGTGAAGGTTTAATCTAATATATATTTTAGTAATTTAAGGAGACAATAGTAATATTTTATGGGTATATAATTGAAAAAAAAAAATTACAAGGATCTATTACTAAAAAAAAATTAAAAAAAATTCACGGAGGCAACCACATATATACATGTAGGTCGTAGCTCGTGTAATGAATCCCCGACTCATTATTAAGTTAGAGTTTAAACTCGAGGTTTAATTTTTTGGCTAAAAAAGAAATGGTCAACTACAAGTGCAAACAAGACACGATTCTAACTTTATCAACATAATTAAATTTATTTTCAACATATTAAGTCTCTCTCAAAATTTTGTCAATCTCAGGCAGGCTCTAGCTGAATGTAGCCAGTCAAGTGAAGCATTATTCAAACTTTGCTTGTTTATTTAATGAATAAATATGAAGGTGTGTTTTCGTGTTAATAACCATCCAAAATGTGAAAAAGTGTTGTAAGCATTTTTTCAAACAATGACACATCAAAATAACATTATCATCACAAGAAACTCAGTACTTACTGGTTCCTCTAACTGAATGTGGTGTGGAGGCCGATAATGCAGCTGTAGAAGCAGCAACATCCGAAGCAAGACGAGCCATCTCCGCCGAGCTGTCGAACCATCTCTGAGGTTTTTCCACCTTGATCCGGAAAGCAATCAGACCATCCATTTGCTTGTTCAACACCTCAGCCTCCTTCACCACCTCCTCCGCCTTAGACTTATAAAACTTCAACACCTTATTGAGCTCATCATCCAGCCTTCTGAAGTACACCATCTCGTACTCGCCGCCTTCCTCCGCCGCCCTGAGGAACACCGTCTCGTGTCTCCCGGCCACCGAACCTCCTTCCCTGACCGAATTGACCAGAATGGCTTGGTTTTCAATGTCTGGTTGTGCTGTTGGGCTTTTGGGACTGTTGTTGGATCTTCTTGTTAGGCCACTGAAAGCTCTGTAAAGTGTTAGCTTTCTCTTTAGGCCTTTGGGTGTTGATGGTGCTCTGTTTCTTCGCTTGAAATCTTGGATTTCTTTCAAATGGGTTTTTAGGTAGTCATAATCCATGTATGCTTGTTGCCATTCTGGCACCATTTGTGACACAAATTCTTTGCCAAACTTCATTTTTTGCTTTTATATATCTATATCTATATATAGATCAAGTAAAGGATTGGTGAAGTGTCTATGGAAATGATTAATTAACTGAGCAGGAAAGAAGAGTTATGGGGGTGAGAAATTAATGGAAGCAATGTACATTAATGGTGAGAGACTGGAGAGACAGCTTTATTGGGTAGCTATATATATATATAAATGAAAGAGGAAAGACCATTTATGATTAGGTGTACAATCTTGAAAGCTAGGTGAGACTATTCAGACAAAGGACAAAGGGACGCGCATGGTGGCTTTTTCTAAATCTCTTAGGGCGAAAGAGAGAGGTGGGGCCCAAAACTTGCTTTTGAATCAATTTAAGGAGGGAGGGGGCCGGCATGGGTCCAAAGAGTTCCAATCCTCTGCGGTCTCATGTACTTGTTGTATTACTGTGCAATCGTGGTATCAGTTGCAATAACAATCGTGATGTAATGAATTAGAACGAATATCGATATAAATCGACTAGTTCATCGAAATGTTTAATAGTATCTATTCCTTAAAAAAAAGTTATAAACTGGACGGTATTACCAATTATGAGGTGAGCACACTTACAATATGCAATGGGATTCATCCACCATATGGCATTGGCCGAACAGATCAAATTATTGCAGGTTTGTACATTGTACCACATCGGACAGGCTTCAAATAATGTTCGTGCGTGTGCTCACTTGTTCAACAATTGAGATGGACAAATGTTAGATCACACACTTTTACTTCCTCCGCTCCAAAAAAAAAAAAACAATGTCTACATTGATAACTGTGAATGAGTCACAATTGAAAGAGTATTATTTAATCTCTTACCTAGTTGGAATCCGTCCTGCACAACACACCGAAGAGGATCTTAGTGGAAGCTCAAAACGTGAATTTGGACCAATCAGGAGAGAGAGAGAGAGAGGTGGGCCCAAAAATAGTGGGATTTTGACCAACTGGATGCTGCGGTCAAAGTTGACAAATTGTTTTCTTTTGAGAAATTCCGTTAACAACTTAGACAATTTGTATGTTTTTTTGATAATTTATATATTATGGCCCTATATGGGAGAACTTCCAGAAAAAAAATTGTTTAGTAGATGAATTTTTTGAAGTTCTTTTAATTATCAATATAATTTAATTTGACAATTATATTCTTAATAATTTATGAATAATAGTATAGAGTTGACTTAAGATGTACAAATAGGGGAAGGAAAAAAAAAAAAAAAAAACACAAAACAATTAAAGTACTTATGATGCATCAATGATTAATTGACATAGTGATGATCAAGGTATACAAATTTACCCAATCTACATGATTGGAATTTTTTTTTTTCCTTAATAAAAGTTGAAAGAGATTGTGGAAAAAGAAAAGGAAAGAAAAATAAAATGAAAGAGAGAGATGGCAACAAATAAATTACTTTAACAGTGGAACGGTAGCCTTAAAAAAAAAAAATTATATATATATATATATATATATATATATATATATATATATATTGTGTGTGTGTGTGTATATATACATTGTGAGAAATAAAAGTTATTTAGAATTTTACATAGGATTGAATTTTAGATAAGAGTTCATAAATACTGGAACTCTTTCGGCTTTGAAGTTAAATGGGAGTCGACAGTAATTTTTCCTCAACTCCTTGGTGTCATTATTTTTTCTTTGTTGAATCGTTTTTCAAAAATATTTTTTTTAGTAAAGATCTCTGAAATTTTGTTCAACATTTTAAAATTTAATATTTATTTTTGGGCAGAGAACGAATGAAGAATATGATACAAAAAGAGAAAAGAAAAGTTTGCAATGAAATTCAGAAATAGAAATAGGTTAAATAATGAACAATATAGAAATTTTATATTTATTACTTTGAAAAAGTGTATAACTTGTAGGAAGTTTCATATTTTATTGACTTTGGTCAATCGAATTTTTAAATTACGGAGATTTTTTAAAAGTTTATTTTTAAAAATTTTACCAAACGTTTTAAAAACCCATTTTGAAGTTACAAAAAAAAAAAAAAAAAGCCCAGCCAAACCGACATTATATATTTCCTTTGTTTTCAAAGTTCTTTTTATGTGTTTGGTGTCTGTATCTGTATCTAGGTTGCTTCCAACGACTTTCTTATAGACACACGTTAATAATTTAACGCAGTGGTCTATTTTAACTGTCCATTTGTTGTCTAGGCACATCAATAAAATACTTCGAGAATATATAGACCACATCATTTTATATTGTCACTTTTCCATAAAAAAGGTGAAGATGTTAGTCTAAATGAAGAAATAAGCATGTTTGAATTATTGTTATTTGGACCGGATTAGTAACAACTAATTTATATTAATTTTGTTCAAATTCATTACATACACCTAAAGAAATTTTAAAATGATGAAAACCAAAGCAGTGATTTGAATCATTCTTATCTTGTCTGCCATTTGCATCATTAATTAATTTTGTGGTGTATTGTATTATTATATATGCGCATGCAATTATGTATTTTTTGAATACAAAAATCAGGACAGACCTTTTTGAATAAATTTTTATTCTCACTCACAGAAAATATATGTTATTAGTTGCTAATTGAATGTTCTTATAAGGGATTAGTGGGTGGGTAATAAATGATTACATTTAAGTTCTAACTAATTAAAGAAGATTAACAAAGATTGATTAATTAAGAAAGATTAACAGATATTGGATCCCTTATATTTGATGTATTAGTATATAGAAGCAACTAATTAAAAAAGATTAACAAAGATTGACCGCCTTATATTTTAATATATACTTTTGCTATCTAACTATCTAAATTTATTTGGCTAATTGACATTGGTGGTGGTTGAATATTGATAGTCCAATTGTAATTTAATTTGTGATAGCCAGAGTTTCAGTCGCAAACACGTTTAAGTGAAGCTGCTATAAAAATATTATTATTTCAGATATATTTTAACTTCTCATTCATCATTCCATAAGTAAATACGTGTTAGATAAATAATATAGCTACATGTTACTTGTTAAATAAATATAGAGGTGACAATTTATGTCCAAACTCATTACACCGTTAAAATTTATCCATTAAAATTGAATTATTTAGATATCCAAATTTAAGTGAGTGGGTCAATCATGGGTAAAAAATAAGTACCCGTATTTAATAGTCAATGGTGGGTTGAAAACTATGTGAAGACTTTTTAGACAAAGGATAGAACAGCGCATGTTGTATTATATTAGGCGAATTTTAGACCACATATATGTGAGTTATGGTTCGCAGTCACTATATCAGTTAGGATAACAATTGCGATATAATAGACTCGGGATGAATATCGGTGACGATTTCCTTGGTCGGTTGTAGATATATACATATATAAATACATCATGCAGCATCTTTCAGCAAACAACTATCATGCAAACCCATTTCTTAATGGGTATTGACCAATAATGTAAATTGAATTGTAAGTCAAAGATTGGTACAGACATATACTTGAGCACGTGAATGGACCTTGTTGTCTCATTTTGAAGGCTGGGTTGGGGGTCAATGCAAATCTCTCTAGATATAGTTGTGTACAGCAAACAACTAATGTAGACGTAGTTGGTTTACAGCAGATTCACGTGCTCAAATAAGTACAAACCATTGGGTTCAAGGAATATCTAAGCTGAAAATGCATTACCCCATGGGTACTCAAAGGTGTCTGACAAGACATTTCCCCTTCTGGCAGCAGACCTAAATCTGAAAATCTTAGAGTCACTTAAACTATTCCCATGGAGTAAAACGATTTGAACAACTTCCTGCGCCTATAAATCACATCTCCAAAATGTTATTTCAGACAAATTAAACTTCAACAGAAAACAAAGAAAGCTTTTTTTCCGAATGCCCTGCAAACCATCATTCATCACGTTTCCTCCGCTAAAGAATTTAAAAAGCAACTCTCTGTTCATTCTTCCTTCTGGTCATTTGATTTAACTCCATTTCTTCACCGGATTTTAAGTGTCACAAGAAATTCAACAGTTGCCACCATAAATACATCGGCTCCATTTGTGACACAAATTGTTTGCCAAACTTCATTTTTTGCTTTTATATATCTATATCTATATCTATGTATGGAATGGTATGGATCAAGTAAAGGACTGGTGAAGTGTCTATGGAGATGATTAATTAACTGAGCAAGAAAGAAGAGTTATGGGGGTGAGAAATTAATGGAAACAATGTACATTAATGGTGAGACTGGAGAGACAGCTTTATTGGGTAGCTAGATATATATATAAATGAAGAAAGGACCATTTATCATTAGCCATACAATCTTGAAAGCTATCTTAGATTATTCAAAGGACATCGGGACACTCATGTGGCTTTTTTCTAAATCTCTTAGGGGTGGAGAGAGAGAGGTGGGGCCCAAAACTTGCATTTGAATCAATCAGGAGGGAGAGGGCAGGGGTCCAAAGAGTTCCGATCCTCTGCACTGTCATGTACTGCTGTGAGTCATGGCTCACAGTCACTGTAACGGTTGGAGTAACAATGTAATAAATTTGAATTAATATAGATATAAATTAATCAAATCGGTTGATTCATGAAATATTTAAAAGTATTTGTCTTTTTTAACAAAAATTTAAGAACGGAAAGATACGATAAATCATGATGTGAACACAGTTACAATATGCAATGGAATTCATCCACCCACATTGGCCGAACAGATCCAATTATTGCAGATTCGAACATTGTACCGCATGAACAGGCTTCAAATAACGTTCGCGTGAGTGCTCACATGTGCAACAGATCACACACGTTTATTATTTAAGCCAACATAGTTGGAATCCGTCCTGCACAACACATCGAATAGGATCTTAGTGGGAGCTCAAAACGTGAATTTGGACCAATCAGAAGAGAGAGAGGGAGGTGGGCCAAAAAGAGTGGGATTTTGACCAACATTTTAAATCAGTCAAAGTTGACAAACTGTTTTCTTTTGAGAAATTTCATTTTCAACTTTTACAATTTGTATTTTTTTGTTTGATAATTTATATATTATATATTTCCTTTGGTGTCTGTATCTGTATCTAGGTTGCTTCCAACGACTTTCTTATAGGCATACGTTAATAATTTAATGCAGTGGTTTATCTTCACTGTCCATTTGTTGTCCAGTCACATCAATAAAATACTTCG